ATAAACACGTATTATATACGAGCAACAAGTAATAGTGAATGGATCATACTGAATTGATTATGTGTTTGTATTAATGCTTACTTTTCTTTAATTAAAGAACGCTCGAGATTTTTATTGCGGTTTTTGAAGGTACAAGACACGTATTAAGTACGAGTATTATAAGTGGCTCATAAGATAATGTATTAAATCAGTCAGACAGTGTAGTAGGACTTTTAGTAAGGGCGCTAAAGCACTCTCAACAACTTATACATGTGTTCGTGTTGAGTACGTGCTCGTATTTTAGACGGAAATTAAGTTTGAAGGCGCTATGCTTGTGACTGGTTTCTCTTGGGATTTGCCTTTCCACCACCATGGTATTATGCCACAGCCCTCGGCAGTAATAAATTATGCAGATTTTTCCTACCATTTTTGTCCTTTGATGTTAGTATCGACATTTTATTTCCATTTGTGCTGAAAATTCGTACAGGTGCAGGCTTTAATTTGCTCGATCATCGTCGTGGTTGCTGTACTCGTTTTCTGTTAGCAGTAGCAGCTGGTGTTAAGTTGCTTCAAGAAAAGGAGAGAATTTCTGCCACAAATTGGTGACAAATGTCTCTTTCGTGACAAGTGTTGTATAGCTCATTTTTCTTACAGCAAACTCTCTTTTGTGACAAGGATCGCAATTTCTTGCATAGCTCATTTTCCTTACAACAAACTCTACAACGCTCATCCACTCAGTACTACGGTCTGGTGATATTCCTCTTCACTTGCAAGTGAGACGCTTTAGGTTCAAATCTCGTATATGATGAATTCGATACCAAATTCGGTTGCTCATTATGTACTTAGCTGAATTCCTCATCTTCTTAGTGTAAAATATATCATTGAAAACACTGCAGCACCCGAAATTATGTTTTTTCCTCGAGCTGGACTTGAGCGTTTAAGTCTCCAACATCCTTTTAGTATAAACGAAGAAGAAGAAAACCTTCAAATCACACAAATAGAGTTATAACAGTAGCTTAATTTTTCTTACAACGCAACATGTATACTATAGTCATAAACAACATGTATTGCGCCAATCACACAATTATTGTACTACTTGAGTTAAATAGAACTGTGAGTTTGAAGGAAAGTAGATGCATATCTGAAGCTTCTCTGAAAATGCATTTAAAGTGATTTTGAAATCCAAAATTAATTTCATCTAAACATTTTCAATCATTTTAAAGGCACTTCTAAGCGAACCAGTAAACACACGAAATTACCAATTACTTAACTATTTTATAAAATATCACAAGCGATGTAAGTGTGATGCAGACAATGTTTCCTTTATAGCTTTGAAGACAGGTGTCACGGGTTCTGCCCGATCACTTTTCAATCATTCTGGATCCCGTTGATTTTGTTTCAGGGTTTAAAACGCTCCTTGGAACTCCAAGTCTTTTTCTCTCGCTTGCTCCAAGCCATCGCCAACCAAGTTGATTGGATTCAAACTAGAAAGGTATGAGAATTTTTAATTTTTGATGAATTGGGATGCTCTTTATGTGAATTAATTATTACTAAGAAATTTCTGGTTTGCTTTCGTTATATTCGAGTTCAATTTCTGATTTGAGCACTTGGTTTATGGAAGAAGTATGCTTGCTTCATGGTGTTACTTGGGTCTTTGCAAGTTGTTTTATATTCTAATATTAGTTTTTTTGAGTCCGGGTTTTTGTTACTAGTTTAACATTTTATTTCTAGCTCTCCATACTAAATTTGAGAGAAATGGGTAGGAGAAGATTGAGAGTGCTTGATATCTCTAACTTCATGCATGTTTTGTTTCTGATCATGCTTTTTTGTTGTTGTTGCCATTGTTGCTTGTATTTATAATTGTTTTCGGTTGCATTGTTCAGTGTCCTCGCACTAACCTTAGAAGGTTCAATTATTTCCAAGTGGTGGTCATAGTTGGCATTATTGTTTTGGAAATGGTAGTGGAATAATTGAACGATAAGCTTTTGGGGAAATAAACATAATATAATTTGGTAACTTCTTTTACTTGAATTAAAACTTGGCCTGGGTTGTTAAATTTCTCCCTGTAGATACATGGATTTTGTTCATAATAGTTCTAGAACTTATCACTCCTACTGTTTCATTTCTTGCTGAGGAGGGTGATGATAACTAGACACTTTTTCACGGCGGTTTAGGAATGTAGTCTATTACTTGAAAATTTCTTCACTTCTGAAAGTCCTTGTTAATGCATGATACAAGCAAATTTTTAAACATTAGTTGCAAGGGTAAATTTAGTGGGAATAGTGGTAAACTAGACATTTTTTTTCACGATGGATTAGGAATGTAGTATATTACTTGAACAAAGTTCTTGTTAATGCAGGATGCAAGCAAGAATTTACACCAATTTTTTAAACAGTAGTTGCAGGGGTAAACCTTAAGGGGGTAAATTTAGTGTGCATAGTGGAAATAATCGTAAGGCAACTGGTACAGTTGATGGGCTTTGCTTGACAAACTATATGTACACACCTCGCATTCCACATGTCGCTAGTGGAATGTTAGACGGTCACCCCGTTTCCTCACATGAAGTTGATGGGATCAAGTCAATGGAATGGTATGCACAGTCATAAGTCATCATATTTTAAGTGCTGATGTCAAAGTAAAGGAAGAAAAGGGTCGCGTGTTCTTGTTGACAACCCGAGTGGACAATTGGTTAAAATCATGGGTTAAGTGTAACCAATGTTTTAATGCAAGATATCCCCATCTTCTATTTCCAAACTTGCTATTGTTATTGATGTAAATTTCAAGACTTAACATACTTAGGATAAGGCTTTCTTTAATATGTTGCATTAAAACATGGTTAAGCTAAAAAGATAACACACACAACTTGACATAACTGAGCAGACTGAATCTCGAAATGCTTATCCATGCTTTCATTGGCACACCATTTGTTCTTCTTCAACCATTTCCTGACTTAGGCACATCTTCCAACTCTTCACCATCATCTATCAAACTGTCACTGTGAAAGGATCTATCACACGCTTCTGGAACAGATGATCATATCCTTTCAATCTTTGAGTGTGACAGTGACAGTTTGATAGATAATGGTAAAGAGGTGGAAGATGTGCCTAAGTTAGAAAATGACTGAAGAAGAGCAAAGGTGTGCCAATGAAAGCATGGATAAGCATTCTGAGATCCAAGCTGCTTAGTTATGTTAAGTTGTGTGGGTTATCTCTTTAGCTTATCCATGTTTTAATGCAACATATTAAAGAAAACCTTATCCTAAATATATTAAGTCTCGAAATTTACATCACTAACAAAAACAAGTTTGGAAATGGAAGATGGAGATATCTTGCATTAAAACATGGGTTACACTTAACCCATGATTTTAAACAAGCGTCTACTCGGGTTGTCAACAAGAACACGCGACCCTTTTCGTCCTTTACTTTGACATCAGCACTTAAAATATGATGAATTCTGATTTTGCACGACTGTGCATACCATTCCATCGACTTAATCTCATCAACTTCATACAAGGAAACAAGGTGAACTTCTAACATTCTACTAGTAACATGTGGAATGCGAGGTGTGTACATATAGTATGTCAAGCAACATCCATCAACTGTACTAGTTGCCTCACAATTATTTTTACTATGCATACTAAATTTACCCTCTTGAAGTTTACCCCTACAACTACTATTTAAAAAATTAGTGTAAATTCTTGCTTGCATTAACAAGAACTTTCAAAAGAGAAGAAATATTTCTATTTTTAAAGTAACATACTACATTCCTAAACCACCATAAAAAAAGTGTCTAGTTATCATCTCCCTCCTCAACAAGAAATAAAACGGTAGGAGTGATAAGTTCTAGAACTATTATTGTCACATCCTGGCCTAGGCCCTTACTTCATCACGAGCTCGACTCCACCGCCGTAGCACGATATTGTCCGCTTTGGACCCTAACTACGTCCTCACGGTTTTATTTCTGGGCTTCGAAGTTAAGCGAGTAGCGCGGTTTTATTTCTGAGGTTCGAAGTTAAGCGAGTAGCACGAGCTGGGATGTGACAATTATGAACAAAACAAAAAGAGCTTGGAAAACCATAAAATCCATGTATCTAGAGGAAGAAATTTAACAACTCCAGCCAAGTTTTAATTCCAGTAAAAGAAGTTATCAAATTATCTTCTGTTTATTTCCCCAAAAACTTATCGTTCAAACACGTGAAAGTTATTCCACTACCATTTCCAAAACCATAATGCCAACTACGAGCACCATTTGGAAATAATTGAACTCAACACTTTCGAAAGGTTAGTGCTATGACACTGAACAATTCAACCGAAAACAATTATAAATACAAGCAACAATCATGCAAGTCCATAATCAACCTACACCAATTCATGTACTAACCTAACACAACAATCCCTTCGCCAAGTACTGATAATGGTATGTACTCATCTGTTAGTCCAACTTTTGCAAAGCAATTAAAATTTTTGAAACAGAAAAACTTACAGAAACCAAGCCAAACATGCATGAATTCAGAGGCATCAAGCACTCTCAATCTTACCCTATCATTACTTAGTATGGAGAGCTAGAAATAAAATGTTAAACTAGTAACAAAAAAAGGGACTCAAAAAAACTAATATTGGAATATAATATTGGAGAAGGTCTGCAATCAGGGAGTTTTATGTTTTCTGGGTCGGCTTGCCGTGCAGTCAATCCCATCATGGATTTAAGCTTAAACCCACTGCAGATTTTTTTTTTTTCTTGGTGTGTTTTCTAGGTTTCTGGGTTCGATTTTGCAGGTTGGATCTGGATTTGAAAAATGGAACGACTGCATTTTTTTTTTCTTTTGAATTTTGCAGGATATGGATTTGAAAATGGTTGTGGAAGCAAGTAAGAAGCAGATGGGAGGGGCGAAGTGAGGAGAGGTGAAGCGGATAGAGGTGGTCTTAGCAGTCCACCCGATTTCGGGGGGCCTCCCTAAGGTCCTTTAGCGAATCGTTCAGTCGGGGTTGGTGTAGGTGAGAATCATTAACGCTAGTCCGTGCGTGCAACAAACATGGGATTACATTGACATTTGGTCCAGTCCAAGCCAGCGAAAGCTAGCGAGCTCAAACAAACACACCGTTACCATAAGAGAACTAACAGAACAGGCTAAAATTAAAATACCCAATTTCACAGCAATAGGTCATCAAAAACAATAACATCCATGTTCGCTTTTCGAGAAACGGTAAGAAAATTCGGCCAAGAGCTCGCCTTCCAGTTCGTCAGAAAATCATCATGGAACGTATTCTCCGATTTACAAAATCTTTCACAGCTTAATGAGTCTTGCAATAAAAACCCTAAAAGCGAGAAAATTTGCAAAATTGGCTAACATATATATGAGATTCAATTCAGTTCGTGACGAAACTCGAAAAAAAACGAACCGAAACATATGCATATGACGAGAGAGAGAGAGAGAGAGAGAGAGAGAGAGAGAGAGAGAGAGAAAGAGAGATAAGGACTTACAGTGGATGAACAAAACTTTGCTGAAGATTTGGGGAAAGAGCTTCAATGGCAGATAAGGTGAGGGGAAATCTCAGAGTAGTCCGGTTGCGGCTTGAAAGAGAGTTTTAACTCTTGCACTGTTGGGGAGTCAATATTAGGGCTGACTCATTCACAATCGTACGTTCTTTTTTTTTTTTTTGGGCTGGGCCCAAGTTATGTATTGATGGAATTTTTCAGTTCTCCAAAGTCCAGACCCAACAATTTTTTTGCATATTTTAAATTCCAATTTTACCATTGTGACAAATCTTTTTTTTTTTTTTTTTTTTTTTTTTGTTCTTTTGAGAAATAAAAAATAAAAATGTGTTGAAGGTTAGGAGAGGGATGACAGAGAGAGAGAAAGGCAAGAATCATATGAGGACGTAGGGCTTCTCATTCTGCTCATACAATGCAACCAGGACTTCCCCACATAAAAAATCACAAAAATATATGAAAAATACAACAGAAAAAGAAAATGTGCATCAAATTAGTCAATAAAAAGAACACAACCCACAAAATAAACGAGGAAAAGTCTCAAACATTAACAAACCTTTGGTGAGGACATCAAGAACTCCACTGGATTCTAACTACTTCCTGAATGCTGAGGTGCGTTGGGGGATATTTTTCCGGGATTGTTTCTTTCGATTTGGTCTAGCTGTGGGTGGAAGCTCTAATGGTTTGAATTTCTTCTTATTTTCGGGAAGTGTTTTTCGTACTTTATTTTCCGTAGTACATTTTTTGGTTTTTATTTTTTTTTTTATCAAACGATAAATTTTATTAGATTAGATTTTAGATTAGTCACCGATAGGGTTTGAACTCACGTTGTCATGCAATGACTCAACTCATTTCCACTACTATGATAAATGGCCATTTACACATTTTTTGGTATTTAGTTGTGTACAAATGTTATACTTTGAAATATTGATTCTCTTTATCATAATAATTTGCCTTTTTATTTTTCCTACCTTCCCGCTTATCTCATCACAAGTGGATTCCATTTACCCATCTAACTTCAAATTTTTGGAGCTCTCTTATTATATCTTTCCAGAGTAATGAGCTTAAGAATTCTAAAAAGAAAAGAAAACACCTAGCGATTGAACGTTATGAGTCGCATGGAGGAAAACTCAAACGATTTAAAAAGGTAAAAAAAACCTGCAAATGCATTTGTGTATTGTGTTTCATTTATTATTAAAACCCATTACTAAAAGACACGTCTTGACACACTTCATCTTAATGGTTCAATATATTTTCTTCAGCAGCTTCGGCTTAGAGGATGAGATGAATAGAGGTTTATATGGTTTGTCCTTGGACGTTCCGGGCACTTTTCCGACCAGTGGAGCCCTTTATCCCTACAGTAGTTGCAATATGCGACAATAAGACGTCCTTTGGAGGAACCACCAGGATGGGCACAACGGTTGGGGTTTTTGTAGAGTCGACGATCCAAAAGACCACAAACTACACCATAACCATCGCCAACAAAAGCGCCGGTGGGACACCATTCCAGTATGGGCAGGAGGAACTGAAGTGCTCATTTTCCTTACGGCAAACTCTACATTGCCCGAAATTATGCTTTTCTTGTTCTGTTCCTTCGAGTCTCCAACGTCCTTTAGTAAACATTTTTTGTTTTCTGTTTGTTAGCAGTTCCATTGTTAAATACACGAAGAAGAAGAAGAAAACTTCCAAATCACACGTATAGAGTAAAAACCATAACCTATTTTTTCTTGCAACACAACACGTATACTATAGAGTTACAAACAACATGTATTGAGCCAATTACACAATTATTAAGTAGCAACTGTGAATATATATATATTCAGAGTAGCAACCCTAAATATAGTATACATATTGTGTAACAACTCTGAATATATATATATATATATATATATATATATGCGCAACAGTTTATTGAAAATGTCTTAGTGATTGTGCAGACCTATTCCCGACCATCTCCATACTAGGCATGTTACATTCGTACCAGAGACCGACGACGCGAGAGAGAAAGTAGAGAGAGAGAGAGAGAGAGATGGAGATGGCGAGGAAGAATTGTGGGGTTTTGATACGAGAGACGATGATCGGGATTGGGATTGGCAATCGCTATAACCCCCGAATCCCCATCCCAATCCCAATCCCAGGTCGTCTTCTTCATCATCACCGTACGGTCCAAACCCTAGCCCCCCCAAATTCAATGCCAACAACCACCGCAGCAGCAGCATCTGCCATTCCTTCCTCCAAGGCATCCGCCTCCTCCTTGGCCTCACTCCCAGCCAGGGTCTCCGCCTCCGGTGCACTCTCGGCCTCGGCCTTAGGCCCAGGCTCAAGTAAGTACCCCCTCCCGCTCGCTCTTTCTCTCTCTCTCTTTCTGTTTTTTATCATCTATCTGCCACTGACTTCGCTGCCGGCTGTTTCTACAGAACTTCTGTTTCCGAGTCCCCAAGACATGATCATGTTGACGGAAAAGAAGGAATATAAGAGAGCAATTAAACAAGTTAAAGGTAAACAACTGCAGATTACTACCTAGTATTGCATTGGATTGAACACAACATGTATGATTTGGACTAGTTAGTTAATTACATTATAATGAGAAAAAACAATCATGAAAAAAGGATCCATAATCTGATCAGAATTGCTTCCCAATTCCCACCCACAAGTGCATATTCAATTCAGTTGGAACTTGGATATTCCTCCCTTGCTGGCTGGCTTTCCAAAAGGACCGCCTTTGCATTTAACATGGACAAAAAACTTTCAAAACCTTGCTTGTTATTCTACGCAGCTTCTTATTTATTTTGTAGGTGGACGTTTGCCAGCAGTTTTCTACTTTACTGAAGCCGCTTGCCCAAATAGTAAGTTGTGATGCAAAACAATTTTATCAGTCAAGTTATTTCTTGTAAACTGCTCCTCTGCAACTTGTATTTGGGTGTACTATTCTTTTGCAGCCGTCACGTACTCAATTCCAATCGTTCGAAAGATCAGGGAGCATTTCCCACATGTAAAACTATATAAGGTTCTGATTACAGTTGAGGTATGGTATCCTAATCTGCTAACTTGATTGGATCATTTGGGAACTATATTTTCATATTGTAAACTGTTTGTATCCCATCTTAAGATTAAGGTGAAAACAACATGTGGGTTCTAGTTTTTTTAATCTTAATAAATTACTAGACAAGTATTTAACTTTTGTTTTTCACTACTGGCCATCTGGCAGTTGCTATACTGTTTGAAATTAAAGTTTTTTACTTTTGTTTTTTTATAATGATTTCTTTATGAAAGCAACATTTTTTTTTTCCCAACAGGATCGTATTATAATGTGAAGCTAGGAAGTAGAAACAATGTTAAGAATATTTAAATTCATTTCACAAATTCTATGTAAAATGCTCTTCTGTACCAAAACAAAATTCAAATTTCTTTTGGTTTCATGGATAACTTGGCGAGCAAAGGGAACTTCATTTTGGATTACATGATAACATCAGTAGTGCATAAGTTCAAAAACAAATTAATGAATAACAAATGAAAATCATTGATTTAATATGACATGGAGGTATACAGTTCACCCACTAGAGTTCATATAAATATTAGACCAAAGATTGTAAAATTCTATGATTTTACCTTTTACTTTCCAAATATATATAAGAACTGTTGTAAATAGAATTTAGCAGTCCATGATACTAAGAAGAAATAAGTTTTCTATCATAAATCATGTTTCTTCTGAGAGTTTTTCTGGGCAGTTTGTGATCGCATCACAAATCACAATGCTTAGTGCAACTAGGTGCATCTTTATCTCTTTTGCTTACCCTGTTCTATACATTGCCTTGGTAAAACATACATAAATATTGTCACACCTGATAAAGCAAATTTGCTGGAGTATCAATCTTTTATTTCGATACTCTAATTATCATTTGTCTTGCAGTATGGTATATAGAAGGCTTATGGTATTATATCTTGTTATGCCCTTTAAATTATTGTCCTAACATTGTTTATTCTATTTATAGAGCGACTTGCGCCCAATAGCATATGATTTGGCTGTTTGCATTTTTGTAAGTGATTCTGTCCCTTTTGTTATCATTGCATGTTCGTAACATAATTAGTTCATTGATTGCTCATGTATGTAACCTTTGTGTTTTTATTATGATTAAAAAACTTGTGGTGTTTTCTTACCATCTGCTAATTGAAAGTTTAGAATAGCTATACTTGCTATACATATATATTTGTATTGGCTAATTAGGCCGTTAGATTAAGCTGAGTAAATAATTCAGCCTTGCTTTCATCTAAAAATTGCAAATTAATTTGATGACCTGTGCATTTTGCTGCAGCCAACATTCCTTTTCTATCAAAACGGGGTTAAGGTTGATGAGATTGTTGGTGGTCATGCTGATCCCGTGATGGATATGTGTGAAAAACTTTACAGGTAATTCTTTTCTTCATTTTTTTACATTTGTTTGTTTTTGCATATTTGTGAATGCAGTCGTATATATTGGTGCCTTTGGGGTTTTTGATGGTTCAATTTAAGTTTACATCTATGTGATCACGCGCAGTATCTCACTTGTTTTGGATTTATATCTGTCTCTCTTATATATATATAGTTAGTTAGTTAGTTAGTTAGTTACTAAACCCTATTATTGACCTTCCTCATATGTGTACTTTCCAATAAAGATACGTCAGGCCAGTTGAAACCCCTCAGCGGACGAGGTCATCCTGGAAGGGGAAAACGGATACTCAACAACTTGTCCTACAAGCTAAGAAAGATGAGAATGACGTAGTAGTTGCAGGAGGGTGGAAAGTGGGAGATGGTTCGATGTTCTTCCAATGGAAAGGTGGTGCGGTAGCTGTTGATAGTAGTGACGTACCTTCAGTTAGTGAAGTGATGAAGGATGTTGAATCTTTATGTACAGCACCAAGGGGTTTCAGTATGTGGTGTTTTGCGAAAGGACTATTTATAGCTAAGCCTGAGAAGAGAGTGGTATTTTCAAACATTAAAGATCCTGGGCTCAAGATTGGTTGGTTTCGTGAAGAAATGGAGGTGGAATAAGTTGGATGCACTTAAATTTATGAATTGTATTATATGCTGTTGACATCATATATATGGTTCGGATGGGTGGGTTTATTTAAATTTGGACAAGTAAGTTGTACTAGTAGATGTTTGTGCTACGTTGACTCTTATTTGATTATATAATATTGAGCCTATCTTTGGTTTCCTTCTGGTACTAGCATTGTTATTATCTGCCAGTGCAACAATTTTTTGCCCATTTTATCATATGTTTACCAGCTGTGATTTGTCAGAACTGTTCTCCTAAACCCTAGAGGTTTAGAGAAAATGGGTGTCACCCACCGTTTGGTCTTTTAATCTAACGGTAGGTGCTTATTTTTAAGTTGTACTTTATCTTATACCGCCGTTGGATTAAGATCAATACCACCGTTGGATTAAGATCAATACCACCGTTTGATCTTTGATCTAACTGTAGGTGCTCGTTTAACTTTTCTGTTGTACACTTTTTATCTTTCACCGTTGGATTAAGATCAAACCCACCATTTCATCTTTTATCTAACAATAGTAAGTGACCACTATTTCCATCATTATGGTGGAACATGACTCGGGGAGATAGTAAAATGACTGATACTTAGTTTAGTGAAAGCTATGGGTTCAATGTTAAATGCTCCATCATCATAGTGGATCTCAAGAAAACTGCCACATGCTTGATCGATGCATTATATTACTAAGGAATGAAAAATCAGTCAAAACTGTTTGGGGTTCATTCATATAGCAGAAACGGTACAAGAGTAACATAAAACTTTTCCAGAAGCCGATAATATATAGCACTCCAAAGTTGTCGTCTGTCTTGCACTCAGTAGTGCATGCACAAGTGCAACATGACGACTATTATCGAGTGCTATTACGTAAATAAGCAAACAAGTTGAGCGTTACACTCAATCGTGCAATATGACGACTATTATCGAGTGCTATTACGTAAATAAACAAACAAGTCGAGCGTTACATTTACTTACATAATTATCCAAATTCCAAACCAGCACACTAAGTGGTCTGGACCATAGTGTCAACAACCTCACATAACAAGATTCATAATCCTAATATAAATAAATACATTATTCCTAAGGCATGTTGGCATACAGCCATTCATCAGAAAACATCTCTCCTTCTTCCCCCTCAGCCATCTCACTACACAGCCATTCAAGCTTGGCATCATCATCTTGCAGCTTGGAAAATGTCTCTCTCTTCTCCTGAGATAAAAATAGCCCCTTTGCAAACCACCATAGCTTGTCACCGGGTTCTACCCCAGGTAAAGACTCAACTGCCTCCATCGCTTTAGGATATGACGATGCAACAAAACTAATCGGAAGTACCTCAACAAGTTGTGACGGATCCACTCCACCTTTTATAGCTTGTCTTCTCCTTTTCTTCATCCCAGATGGACTAATTTACACACATTAAGCAAGTCATCAGACGATCGAGGATATTCAACATATATGATTCCATTAACAAATACACAAAATCAGCAAACAAAAAGTAACCAAGAGATTGACCACCAAAAAAAAGAAAAAAGAAACCAAGAGATTGAAGGATTACTTGTAAACATTTGCGAGAGTCTTTAACAAGCTGTTGATAGAAGGTTTGGCAAGTTCATCAACCTTTTCCCCTTTTAGAAAGAAACGGAACGTTGGCTGCAGAAAAATGCACACATCAGCACAATGAGGTTTCAAGAACAGACACGTGCGCTATAAAAAATACAAGGATCAAATCATTTACCGTCTTGTAAACTCCCACCCAGCACAATGAGGAACAACCTGCAGTCTATAGATAAAATATAGAACGTCAGGTTCACAAATTTAAAGGCATAATAAAAAGAAGTTATCGTATGATTCTTCTATGTGCAGCTACACGACGGATCATAATTTATATCATTAAGTAATCTTTTACCCATAACAGTTTAGCATGCTTGTTGCTCCTAGGAAAAGAATAAGGACTAGGGATCTAGACTATTCAGCTATTAGCACATAACGAGGAAGTAATCAGAGAATTGCTAAGTTAGCGAGCGTTTCGAATAACTATTAAAATGTTCAAAAATACAGGAACTAACTATTGAACTGAACTTAGACCCGTAACTAGATTCCGTACCTTGAAAAAGCAAACCCTAAATTTTGTAATGTGTGGGTAAAACACACACATGTAATTCAAGATTGGATCATCACTCGAGTAAGAGACTGCACAAGAAGAAACACCGATTATTATTGGGTTTAGGGTTTAAGGTTTACTTAATTGATTACAGTAAATTCAAAGGAAAATTAATAAAAAAATAATTTAAAAACTTTAAGTTTTAATGATAATAACAAAATAAAGGATAAATTGAATAGTACTAGGTTTGACTTTTTAGTGTAAAAATGTTATTTTTCGTTAAAGTAAACAGTACCAGACTTTTCGTTAAAACTTTCTAAATTCAATTCATTGCACAAAAAAAAGGAAAGGGAATTCGATCATTACAACTTACCAGAACTTGATCCCCGACGTTCGGTGAAGTAGAAAACCGCTGAAAGACTTTCATCTGTACCAATAAATTACCAGAAAACAAAATTATACCCTAAAACAAAACATTTTCAAAAAGAAATTACTAGTAAAATAATAGCATGTACACCTTCAACTTGTTTGATGCATCGTCATATTCGGGTGCGACATTCAAGAAGAAAACGTTGGGAGGAGGACGAGGAGCCGGATCTCGATCTCCATCTGGAAGTGGAACCGAGTGCTTGTGTCTCACAAAATGGAGGTTTGGGTTTGGGTGGTAGTTAAGGAGGGAACAAGGGTAGTAGACGGAGGAGGTGGCGGCAGCAGGGGCGGCGGCTAATTTCCAATTAATTGCCGTCTGTGGTGGGGAAGTTTTCGATGGTCTGGAGGAGTTTAGAGTTTGGACAGAATTAGAAAGGAGACGTGCGCAGAGCTGGTGCTTGTTGCGATTTCCCCCGACCAACTGCCGCGTCAAAACCCCGCCGAAATTCATCCTCGCCATTTTCGCCTCTCTCGATCTCGATTCGCTGATCCCTAAAACCGGCGGTTGTAAATAATAGGGTTTAGCCTGGGCGAATTTCAATCACAAGCCCAATCACTTCTCAAAGTCAAATCGTTGAAGAAGACTCACAAGTCAAACTTAAATCCATGCATAAAGTACGAAATGAAATAATAGTTTATTGGACGCCAAGTCCATACAAATCACGTAAATATATAATGTCAAGCTGTGTTGCGTATTGTAATTCTCAGTTTACTACCGTGAAGTTTTTTGGTTTTCAAAATTTCATACATCAAGTGATAATTGTGGAACACTTTCATACATTTGTTAAGCTTTTTCTTTAAACAATCATTAACCTGTGATGTGGCGCTAGATCTGACAATTTCTTACACGATCCGTTAACACGACACAAAAATAACAGATTTTGAATCAATACTAATCGGGTCACCCGTTATGAACCTGTTAATAACTGATTTATACCTTAGTAACCCGTGTAAATTGAGCAAAGAGCATATTGACAATTTAAAGTACCATTTCCAAAAGAATTGATACACAAATGAAGTAGTATTTCGACTAAACCCCGCGAACAATGACCGCTTAGTTGCATACCAACGATCATATGTTCAAAGCTCTCAAAATTCTCAACACGGTTCACACTTACTCTAGGTGTATTATAAACTGGTCAGAAACAATATCGTAAGGGTTGACAATACGAGCAAAAATGTGTGCAATGACAATGAGATTTAAAACGAAAATGCAAACCCGAAAAAGCTAACATCCAACTTTTGATGTGAAAGAATATGTAAGTAATAATAACATCTGAATTCTTGAGCAATTATTCAAACAAATGAACTCACTCAAGTGCAGATGAAGGGTTCTCGTTCTGCTCATACAATGCAACCGGGACTTCCCCATATAAAAAATCACAAAAATATATGAAAAATAAAACAGAAAAATAAAATGTGCATCAAATTAGTCAATAAAAAGAACACAACCCACAAAATAAACCAGGAAAAGTCTCAAACTTCAACAAACCTTTGGTGAGGACATCAAGAACTCCACTGGATTCTAACTACTTCCTGAATGCTGAGGTGGGATGGGGGGGTATTTTCTGGGGTTGTTTCTTTCGATTTGATCTAGCTGTAAGTGGAAGCTTTGGACTACCTTATTGCTGCTGCTAACGGTCCAAAGAGGATCAGTGGGTCAAAACCACAGTTTTCGTTATTTTAATTGGGAAAAGATAATTGATTGAATTTCTTCTTATTTTCGGGAAGTGTTTTTCGCACTTTATTTTCTGTAGTACATTTTTTGGTTTTCTTTCTTTTTTTTTTTTTTTGGCGAAACAATAGATTTTATTAGATTAGATTTTAGATTAGTCACCGACGAGGTTTAAACTCACGTTATTATGCAAGGACTTAACTCCTTTCTATCACTGTGGTAAAATATCATTTGCACATTTTTTTGGTATTTAGTTGTGTACAAATGTTATACTTTGAATTGTTGATTCTCTTTATCATAATAATTTGCCTTTTTATTTTTCCTACCTTCACGCTTATCTCGTCACATATGGATTCCATTTACCCATCTAACTTCAAATGATGTATTCAATTGGGATTTTGAAAGATTTTAATTCTTTTAATAAATTTAGGTATTTTCAATCAAGTTTTTCAGTGATTCTTCAAGATTTAAAATGTATTCCATCAGGATTTTAAGATAGTTTATTAAAAATGAAAACTAATGAAAATGGCTTCACAACTTTGAATCTTAACCAAAAATCACATAAACTTTATTTAATGATTAGGATAAACCAAACATTAAATCAACCCAATCAAAATTGGCCCAAACAATGAGTTTTCGATTTTACCCTGATGGCAACACATTCTCCCGTTTATTTCATCCGCTTCACTTCAGATGAAATAAAAAAAACTTTTGTACGGTTTCTACAAGTTTCTACAGATCTCATGTCATTTTCTCTCTGCTATTTTCTCAATTTATAATTTCGATCTGATCGTCT